AGTCCTCGAAATACCGCCTTATGGGCCTCCCACAGGGTTGAGAAAGAAGCTACGGAGCCAACATTGTGGGTAAAATAAGTATCAAGTCCCCAAGAAAGTTCATCCCGAAGATGTTCTGTGGAAAGAAAGATCTCATTAAGGCACCAATGACATGATTTGGGTATAACGGTAGGGAAGAAAAGGTTCAAGGTCAGAGAGGCGTGGTAAGAGCAGGTAATGGGGTTGATTTCAGAGGAGACCAGGAGAGGCAGTGGAGCAGAGATAAAAAAAATGATCTAGGCGGGAGAAGCTATGGTGAGGGGTGGAATAGAAAGTGAATTGTTTATGTAGAGGGTGTTTAATCCGCCAAGCGTCAAAGAGACGATGCTCCCTTATCAGTCTGCAGAAGGATTTTGAAGATGAGCATTGCCGCCTTGAGGGTGTGGACTCAAAAAAGAACTTTCCTGTCTTTATGGGGGAAAAAAATCAAATTAAAATCACCTCCAACAATCACATGCAAAGTGGAAATGGAATCTAAGTTGGTGAGTGTTTGGGAAAGGAATTGCAATTGACCCATATTAGGGGCATATAAATTCAACAAAACAAGGGGAGTGTTACCAAGCATACATTCCAAAATAATGAAACAACCTTGTTGGTCGACTTTGGAGGAAATAACCCGAAGGGAGCAGTGTGTTTTAATCAAAATTGCCACCCCAACCTTCCCAGAAGGATCAAAGGGCGAATAGGCTTGGGAAAAAGATCTTGAGGCAAAACGGAAGGAGCCAGTTGATTTGAAATGGGTCTCCTGGACAAAAATAATGTCTGCTCCTGAGGATCGAAATTCCCTCAAAGCCATCCACCGTTTTTGAATAGAGTTGAGGCCCTTAACATTATATGAAAACAATCCAAAATAAATAGCACTTACTTCCTCTACCAAAAACTTAATGAATTGATTAACATTCCTTCCCCTGAAGTACAAACATAATAATAAAATAAGCAAACATAATGAGTGACTACCCAAACAAACAAAAATAATATAACCAGAAAAATAATATAACCAAAAAAAATTATATATCAAATATAAATAAAGTCCCATACACCTAAAGTCCAAATAAAGTATAAAGTCCAAAATCTTTATAAGTGATCTCTCAATATGTCTTTATCCCCGGATAGGATTGGTGATATATTCCAGATAATCTTCCAGTGCCTCAAAAAAACAAAAAACTCAACATAGTGTGTTACCCTAAAAATTATGTATATTATGTGCCACACGTGTAACATGCAAAATACACAATAAAGGTGTCACAGCAATCGTGAAATCTTCAGGGTATAATTTAAGTAAATAGCTTCACTGCACACAATAGATGAAGTGCATAATTACCCCCATCAAAGATTTAATCAGCAAAGAATCCATATTAGAGGTGAAAGTGTCTCCACACATGGATCAGATAGCGTCTCCTGCCTTTGCCCACAGACCTCATAAAATAGACCAGGGATCAGTATATATAAAAATAATCAATTTTATTGTAGCAACTTACACTTAAGTTAGATGAGTACAGCTTCCATACACTGGGAACGTCCCATAAAGAGAGCCCACTCCTTCGTGGTGGCTGTTTACAGCCCCTTATTCCTAAAGCCGAGAGAGCCAGGTGACCATGGGAGTCTCAGGGGTTGGAACTACCGCGTGTTCCCGAATCCAAGATGGCCGCCCCGGTACTTCCGGAGAACGTCAATACGTCACAACGTCACGTGCCCCGGACGCGTTTCGTCACATCCGGACTTTTTCAACAGGGATACGGACGTGTGCCCTCACTTGCCTTAAATATCCGCTAACTGGCAAGTAAACTCCAGACGCGGCCATCTAACTTAAGTGTAAGTTGCTACAATAAAATTGATTATATGAAAACAATCTCAAAGCCATCATGAAATAACAATGGGTGAAGCGTATGTGTTAGCAAGAAAAATAAATGAAATACCATCAATGAAACAGAATAAAAAACAGAAAACATTAAAATAACACAGAAAAGAGAAAACACAGTGGGAGACATAGGTATCCGTAAGGATATAAACTTGGAAACAACAACTAGAATGGCTAGACAAAATCGGGAGCAGCCCGACATCCGACACATCAGGAAGGTCGTCAAACCCGGCCAGGTTTGGCCGGCCAAAAAAGAAAAACCTGTGGAGAAACCATGCATAGATCAGGAGGGAAGGATCATCACCGGATTCATAACAGAAGGTCATCCCAGAGAATCATCAGGCAAGTGAATCGGTTGACCCAGGAGGACGTGGACGTTGTGGGGGGTGCGTGAGAGTCTCTTCCGGCCTCTGTGGACTGGAGTCCAGATCTAGTTGGGGGTGGCGGAAGGACGGGATGGAGTAGGTGGAAATGAGGACACATCATCTGACAAAGGTGGAAGTCTCAGCTGCTTTTAAGAAAGAGTCCGCCTCATGAAGATCACGGAGAACAACTTGAGTATTGTCCCTAGATAAGACCAGCTTGAAGGGGAACCCCCACCGATAAGGGACATGGTGTTGCTGAAGGTGTGTTATGATCAGCTTCAGAGCTCGCCGTTTGGCCAGGGTAATTGGGGAAAGGTTGCAGAAGAGTTGGAGTCTGTCACCTTAAAATTCCAGAGAAGATTTGTGGCGAACTGCTGATAATAAGGCTTCTTTGCTTTGAAAGAAATGGAAGCGGACTATGACGTCGCGTGGTCTTGTGCCTTCAACAAGTTTCGGGCCCAAAGAGTGATGAGCCCTATCCATTCGCTAATCTGCTTCTGGAACCATGGGAGCAGTTGCGATGAAGAAGGACAGTAGGTGACGGTGTAATTGTGCGTCAGAAACAGATTCGGACATACCGCGAATACGGATATTTTGGCTCCGTTTCCTGTTTTCCAAGTCCTCTTGTTGGAGCAGCATTTGGGACATGGAGTGCTTCAGATATGCATTGTCCTCCTCCAAAACATGAACGTATTGCACCCAGTTGCTTATTTAAGGCACTGCAAGACTCAGGATCTTTGCTGGGTGGTCCCTCTTGTACCTGACCATTAGCTTGCTTCTTGACTCAGCAGCTTGCTTAATCCTTTGGTTCATCTTCTGTCTGTGTGATACTGACCTCAGTCTAACTCCTGTTTATGCTCTTGTCTTCTGAATCTGTGCCTCTGTGGTGGCCCGTTGCCAATTTCTATCTGTCTGTCCATGTTCCTGCCTCCTGCTTCTGCAAGCCCTATGATGACATTTGGCATGAGTTCCTGTTCTTCAGCTTCTACTGCCACATAACAAAGTTCCCATTATTAGCCCTTCTAAGCCAGTAGGCCTAAGTTTAAAGGCCCTTGCAGTACTTGAATATTACAAAAAATTCAGGTGTCTAAATTCCCATATCAGGTTGCCAGGACTGCATACCTTGAATATGCTGGGTTTTCCTCAAATACATGGTATAGCTGCACCTCAACACTTCCTAAGTAAAGAATCAATTGTTAGGATGACTTGAAGCTTTCCCCTTTATTAAAATCCAACAATGGCAGCTCCCTACCTTTTCTACATTAACTGATTTCCAAGCATCCTGAAATATATCAGAATGTAACCAGTAACTATACTATATACAGTTCATACAGTATATATTAGTGGACTCTGATGAAATAAAGAACAATGCTGGGGGCTCTTTTTATTTTACTTTTATCTATTCACAGGTCCTGAAAAAAGAGCTACAGGTGGAGATTTATCACTAGTATGTTGCCATGTAAGTATCAGAGAAACACTTTAAGTTTCAGTGCATGTTTTACTTCAATGTAAGGAAGCCTAGCAAGTTATTAATATAAAGGCTGCCATTGTTATTGTTCACCTCTCCTAAAAATGCTAATTGCTGAGGAAGAACAAGAATACAAATAAACACCAATGATGAACCCTTAACTGACCCAAACTCAAACCTCATCCCAATAATGATGTTTAACTTTCTGGATTTGTATAGTTGTTCATTGTCAACAAGTTATAGCATTAAAGCCCATAGGTCTGAAATGGAACAGGGATGAAATGGGGACCTCAGTTCCCATTAGGGCATTTGTTTTAGAATAGCTTCTCTGCTCATACAAATCAATGGAAATGCAAAAGCACCTTGAAGAAGGTCAGCTGTAGGTCAGATGCACGTGCAATGAATTTTGAATAATCTCAGAGGCTCCTCAGACTGTTGTTAAATGCACATTGCATTTGCCCATTGAAACCTGTGAACATTGACCAATCGCAGTTCCCTCCATTGAGCACAGGTCAAACCGAACTGTGTTGGTGCTCTGTATAAGAGTGTTTTAAAACTTTTAAGTAGCACATCTACTGCAAACATGTACTGCCACACATAAGCAAGTGTTGTTGCTGATGGACAGAGCAAAGGCACTTTCCAAAGACTTCAGTGAGAAATATGGAAATGACATGGGAAAATCTGAATGAGCTGGGGGGCCACAAATACTCACCAGATGTCATTCAATGCTTAATTTCACACATACTAGGGTCAGGAATTAGCAGAGTTCTAAGCAATGCTTTTCTATGGCCAGTCAAAATTATGTAGTCCGGTCAATGAATGCTAACTGCAAAATGTTGGCTATCTTGCCAAATATTGATTGGCAGGGGCTATCTTGAAGGAGAACATGAACAAGCTATGGAATGTCTTCATCTCAGGGGGTGGTCATCTTGCGGGAGCCTGAATGGATGAGGATGGACTGTAATTGGATGAGAGGTGTGTTCAGGGAGAGGGCTTCAGGGGTGATACACATATGGAGGAAGGGAAGTGAGGATATTGGGCTGAATCACATGTGTATGCTGAAGAAATTATGATGGAGAAAGAGCAGTGATGTATTTCCTTCCCACTTGCCTGTACTGTTCACACAGCAGTACTGTACTGTGGGACAATGTGAAAAGCCCTGAGCCCCAGCCTGTGGGAGAGACTGCTGCTGCATCCAAGTCTACTGCTGTTGCATCCAGGACTGCAGCGGTTACATTCAGAAACTGTTGATTCAGAGACTGTTGCTGCCAGGGGCAGACTGACCATTTGGAAACTCGGGCACTGCCCGAGGGCCCCGGGTCAGTAGGGGGCCCCATGAGATGTCCCTGGTACCTTTTTCATAGGCTTTTTTGAGTTCGGGCAAGGACACAGGGGGCCCATGATCCCCTATTGCCCGGGGGCCCCATGAGTTGTCAGTAAGCCCCTGGTTGCAGCATTCAAGTTTGCTGCTTCTGTATTCTGAACTACTACTGTTGCATTCCAAAACTGCTGATTCAGAGACACTTCTTCAAACTCCAAGGAGAGAGAGAAGGATTGCAATACATTACTTTAGAGTGGTGAGAGGCCAGCTGCCACCCCTGTTCATAATCCTTTAAAAGAGACACTATACCGTTAGAAATAAAGGGGATTCTGCCAATGGAGAAAAATTATCCTTTATGTAGAGCGTTGCATGACCGTGCAATTGTCAGTTAAAGTAACACAGCGCTGTATTGCAAAAAACGGCCTGGTCATGAAGAGGGGTAAATCTTCCAGAGGGCAATTGGTTAAGGAATACAGATCTCTCCAGTTGGAGAGCAAATGCTCCACCTGCTGAGGGCCCCAACGCTGGCAGACTCTTTATAGACATTGATCAGTGAGCAAATAGGTCAATAATTAGTAGCCGATAGAGTATTTCTTCTTTCTTGTCCTGGTATTGATGTTTATCGTGTTGCTTCACTTTAAAATGTTTATGCAAGTATATTTATGCTGATTTCTGACAGGCAGTGTTAGCCAGTATATTCTTAAACAGCCCAAGGTTTGTCAATAAGCCTCCAAGCTACCAAGGTGGGACATATTCCAGAGGATAGAACTCAGTACAACCAACATAGGCATGGCACTACAATTATGAAATTTCTTGCCAGCTGGCTTCTTCTATAATATCTTCATGTTGCTCTTGTTTAAGTACTGCAATTAGAATGAAGTAAATTATTTATTATTTTAAATGATATGAATAGCACAGGAGCTTGTTTAGTATAGCAGATAAGCCATGCATGTCTAGAAGGGTGAAGATTCCCAAATCCTCATTAATGCCCTATGAAGCAGACAAAAAGCTTTTTGTGTAGATGAGAAAAAAGTGTCATAAGAAGCTGTGGGGACAGATTTATCAAGGATAGAAAACCGTAGAAGTAGTGATAATGGATGTTGGGTGACAGTAGATAGACTTTTTTAAAAAAAAGAATTGGAAGTAGGAAACGTGTTAGACTGTGGCACAGTTTAGGAAATGAAAACACCTAACTGTCTGTTAAGAAGGAATATTTTCTGTCAGTGCCTTTGAATAAACAAACCTCAGTTACACCAGTCGCATAGACAAGCTTTTCCAGGCAAGGAACTAAATTCAAAGTGCTTTAAATACATCAACAGCAACATATGAGAATAAATCTTTAAAGTTGTTCATACAGGATACCATCTAATTGTAAAATCTGTTTTAGATCTACCGTAAACTATGTAGTACAAGAGTCTGCCTGATTGGATAATATATGAATGGATTGTTCAAGTTTGTGCTCATATTACATAGTTTTGGTAAATCTAAAGGCAATAGTAGAGATATTGTACAATCAAATTGTTTAGTGTAAGGCTAGCTTAATAGATCTAACAATATAAACAGAAATCAGGTAGCTATAATTTCTACTTCAGCCTTGAACTTTGCACTTCCTTTTAAAAGAGACAGTAGTGTTGAGGAATGCATACATTATTGAATGTGAATAGAGGATGGCCAAATTAATGAAAACCCTCCTCCTCTATTCATAGAGCGCTTTTCATTGATGGAAGCTTTAGTAAAGCTTATATGAATGGAGAAGGGGAAAACATGGGGGGTGGGGCTGAATAGTCAGTATGCTTTATGAGTGTCTATGACAGGTCCCTTGGCTTGTAATAACCCCCATAGCACTGGAAGATTATGGCTGTGGAGGTAGAGGGGGATCAGAGGGCTTTGGATTTTAACTAAAACAGCAGCCAGCAGCACAAGGGAAAGGTCACATTGAATCTAAGTACCAGTCATAATGCTGATTTTTTTTTAAAGTTTTTTTTTTTACTAAACCTAGGATTTAAAGTGTTACTAAACCCAGGGCCTTGAATTCACTATATTTGGTCTCCTACAGTACACAGAACATGGACATGCAATTATTTTAGTAAATATAATCTGCTAAATACCTTTTTCTCATCAGCAGTTAGAGCAATCTTGTGAAATCACAGGTAAGGCTTGTAGGAGGAGTTTTCATTTTGCTCTAGGATGATGTGGAAGCCCTAACTAGACAGTACTGATTGGCCCTGTGCTGATCACATTCACTCTCCCAAGAAAATAAAAAACCTCTCTAGCAATACACACCAAACTGAGCATGTGCAGAGTGTCTGCACACGGTATGTTTTATCAAGAGATAAGAGGGGCACACTGGAAGAAGGGGAGGATCAGAGAACTCAAGATCAAATTAACCCCATAGGTTCCACAGTGAGTATAACAAGCATGATTTACTGCATATACAGACTGATTTTACTGTTGTGGGTTTAATAACACTTTAACTGTCTTTTCCAACACTGGTGACTGGCAAATAGAAATTAGCCAGTAGTTTGCTGAAGTTGTCTCTGTATTTGCTCATGCAAAATCTTCCTGTCACTGTCCAATTTCATTCAAACTCTCATTAAGAATGAAAATAAAATTAGAAAGCAGCAGGATATTTTTTAATAGGATAATAGGCCTAACCATTGTAGACCTAACTTTTATTTTTCCTATAGAAATACAGGTATGGTCATTTTTAGCCATATAAATTGAGGCGGTTTAGGGGCACAATTGTTTTTAACATTTTTCTTTTTTTTCAGAAAAAAAGGATTCACTGCCCAAAGAGCTAGTGATCAAATTTAAAGTAGTTTTCACACTGACCCTAATCTCTCCCTGTGCAATTTGTCAGCTTTTCCTATCTTTTTTGTTACAGTGGCTACACTGATAATATAGAAACTTTTGTTTTTTAAACAAACATTTATGTTATTCTGTTTTACTTTTTTTTACAGTTCTCTATAAAATTAAGAATTATGTTGTGGGTGTTTAGTTTTACTTTAAAGTGCATGTATTCTCTCTTTTTTTGGATATACTAGGGAAGGAATAGAATCCAAGTCAGTAATTTAATTGATCTCTGTGTCCCTGCTTAGTCTCTATTTGTATTGCTGATTAGGAGGTGACGGCAAGTCCAAAAGTATTGAGTTGTCACCAGAACAAGAGGTAAAACAAAAGTTTCCATTGGGGACACCTGTTCCAATGACGACTGTCCAAGGGCTTTATGCTTGCAGTCCCATCTGAAGAGCAATCCACAGTGGATCACTCTTCAGAGACTTTTGGGCAGGTAGTGAGGAGGTGTTATGTCAGCCAATTTTTTATTGCAGCACCTGCTCCAGACACACTGGAATTATATTTTCTGGCCAGACTCATCCTCAAGCAGATACATGAATTGAATAAGGAGTGGCTGAGAGTTAGCCCTGGGCAGGATGGCCAGAGAAAATCAACATTTTGATTTTTTTTATCGAAGAAGAGGTCAGGTGAATGGAAAATTTTATTTTTAATTTTGCAGAACAGTTTTCCTTAAAGATTATTCCACCTTAGCAGCCACATTATGGAGTCCCCACTGTATGTATGTTATGTGTTCCAATCGATACAGCATATCTAAATGATTGTCTTACCTATCTAGATATTTATTTGGAGCAGGATTATACACAGAATTGAGCCAGCTTGTATTGTTCAGAATACTTGCAATGTGTTTTTAATGATACTTCAGAGACAGAGTGGAATAATAAAGTTCAATAACATACAAGTCTTGATATCTTTAACCCTTTAGTAGGACAGGCAGAGTACCTATATAGTTTACAGTTGATAGTGAAGATATGTCAAAACAGTATGGGCAAGGTTAATTATGGTAAAAAATACCTCCCCAGCCCTCTCCTAATCATTACATTGATGGGGAGGGCTGAGTGGGCTATTTTTTCAGTTTTGAAGTTTTCATAAAAAGGAGCATTTAAAAAGGTAATCTGCAAAGTTTAAACATTTTTTATTCAATTATGCTCTCTGAATGAAATCACATAACACATAAAAAATAGGTGTATTCCCAAGTCAGCTGCAAAGGTGAAAATACACTTTAAGGCAATTGAGCACAAACACATAGTGGAGCTGTCCATGGTACCAATTTAAGGGATGGTGGATGGATTCCAGTAACAACGCAGAGCCAAGGAACTGGAAGGATTTTTTCCTAAACTTTGTCTGTGGTCATCCGATACTCTGAGGCTCACAAGAAACCCTGTAGGCAAAGGCTGTTCACACAATTTAACATGAAATGTTTTTTTCCTCAGCTTATCACAGTACTCACAGATTTCTCTAAATTAACCTGTGTATTGTTCTCCCATAATCTTTAGTAACAGTGCCTTTTGTTGTAAGCAAAACAGGACTGATCCTACTGCTTAAAGTGGTTGTAAACCTCTAATGTGAAGAATGAAAAAGCATATCCTTTTATAGTGTGTACTTACCTTAATCCACTGAGTTTCTCTCTGCTGTCTCATTTGTCTGCTGTCAGCATGACTTGCTGCTTTTCCCAACTCCACGAGATAGAGGGGAGCTCCAGCACACAGACTGTGATTGATAACCTCAGCTGTGCATGTTTCACTGTGTGCTGTGCGAAGAGAGGTGGGTCCCTTCCCTCCATTCAGCTCTCAGATTATACTCAGCTCTCCTCCCTGAGATGTGCTGTGCAATGTGTGATCCCTGACCCGTGCTTTCTAGAGATAAGAAATGCTGTGTAAAATGTGGGTTTTGAGAGGCTGTGGGAAAATATGGCTTCATATAAACAGGCACAACTAATGTAGGAGGATTTGTTTCATCTCTGTTTATTGGCTACATCTAGTCACTTCACTGCGTATATGTAAGGGTTTACAACTACATTAAGGCTTTTATCCAAATCTAAGAGTGTTAAGGATGGGAACACAAGTGGGCATGTGTGAAAACTCAAAACAATGATTCTTTAGGATGAGGATAACTTTAAAAGTCAAAGTGTTGTCATTGGATGTAGGTGTGGGGATGGCACATGTGGCAAATATAGAGTTGACAAAAGGAAGGGAGAGCAAGTAACAAAACTAGAATGAATACCAGCTCAGTTGACATTAGAAAATAAAGTATTTTGTTGAAGAAAATATACCTCAACAATATATTTCCATAAAGTCCACATGAACCAAAGTGGGGTTGAATGTAAAATGAGCACCTTTGGTACTTGTGCTGTTCTTGTGCTGTTCTTCTCACTCTCAGGGTTTC